CTTTCTTTTCATGCTCATTGTAAAAATCGTAGTTTTTTTAAAGGATGAGTACTTTATTGCTGGCCGTAACTTCAGCCTGAGATTTTTGGGGGAAAAATCGAGTTTTAAAATTCCGAAATTTTTTGGGAGAAAAATAGCTAGGCGAAAAAATGGGACGAAAAACCTTAAAAAATTTTGCAGACTGCTTTCTGAATTTGCATATTTGTGACTTTTACTAGATAATCTTAATTTGTATCAGCTGCCTCTGCATCGTCTCAGTTTTGATTTATACCGGTGATGATGGCTAATGGCCTTTACATTTTATTTCCACATTGATAATTTGAGAAGTTTTGTGATTACTGTATCTTTTCCCCTCTCAGGTTCCTCTGATAAGCAGTTTCTTTGCTTTGTTCTCGTACGTTCATTGTGTATACGCAAAAACTACGCACTTTTTTTCTTTTCGCTTCTCAAAATGTGTTGATTTTTTTATTCCTGACCGCTTTTGCAAAAATCCTGGAAAAACGCTTCCAATATTTGAAATGGCTCTCGACATCGGAATCATCGTTGTAGTTTTTCTTTTTCACAAAAATTGATACTCACACAACAAATTCGAATTTTTCCTAACAAGAGCATTTGCCCTATAAAATTTGATCCGCAGCGGTACAGTTTTTGCACGCTCGACTCAGACGGTTCTTGTGCTGGATGAAACGATTTGTAATAATAGAAATTGCCTAGTGTTCCCTTGGATATGAAGAGCGTTGCTGTTGTTGCAGGAGTCTTATTTTCTTAGTCGGAAATGATGATATTTTCCCTCTTAATCTTGTAACTATTTTATTGCACTTGTTCTTTTATTTGTCCTTAATAATTGTAGGTCTGTACTCTTGGATTTGCATTAAGGGGAATATTTGTGTATTCATGTTTTCTTCCTGTTGATAAATATTTGAGATAAGCAAAGTGTGAGGCACTAAAATAAGAAAATGTGATAAGTTTAAAGGCAAAATCCGTGTCGGAGCCAGGTTTGTTTAAATGCAGTATTTTTTTTTTTCCACTTTTGTGATAAAAGGGGTCCAACGCGTTCGGGGATTTTTTGCATTTTCGTAATGAAATTTTGGCTTTTATGCTTAGTAATCTGCATCAGGTTTTTTATTTATCACAGTAGAATACGAGCGAGTATTGTCTAATGGGTGTCATGCTGGCTGGTATGCAACTTAATGGACCGAAACATTCAGCTCTTAAACTTTGTGCCAAGACTTCTGTGTTATGAGGCCGTTCATGCATTTTTATTAAATCTCAAAATACAAAAACGTTCACTGTACATAAACAATTTATGTCAGAAGTAAAAATGCCCTCTCCCCTGCTCAACAATTCACTCCCTTTGAGGGATGAAGGCACTTGCAAGTGACCGGTATGGTGACACTTTGTCTAGAGTGGCCATTCTCTGGCGAGATGGACGGTAACTGTTCTACATTTTACTTAAAATCAAACGAAAGTGGCTGTGGTACGTTTCTGCGTATGCCAGTACTAACGAATCGTAGAAGGACTGGTTTTCTGAATGACGGGATCGGAATTCCTACTAAGAACTGAAAGTGAGTGCCTCATCAAGCCAACAATCTGTACAAGAAAAACAAAGTCATAGTTGGAGGATTTAATTTCACAAATACAAATAAACAGTCCAGTAGACGATGTGAAAGACAATGAAGAAAGTTGGGAATGCAATTCGGGATATTAGATCAACCTGAAAAATTTTCCGAAACTTTACGACTTGCAAAGTCACATCTATCTTATTTAGATGATTTCTCTTCGATACAACTTTTCATGTAAAAATCTTACATATAAAGCAACGTTATGTGGTAGCATACAATGACTGTCCGTAGCATGGATTAATTTTTTCTCCCTTACTGTTTTCTCTCTCTCATTCTCTGTTCTTTCACGTAATCGTCTTGCAAATTAGTCAGATGACTGTTCAGTAAATGGCGGGTAGGAGGCTGTACTGATGATTCCCTTTCCTAACCGCACGAAAAGTTCGGTCTGTGTTTACGGCTAAGGGATGAAACACAGACTGCTAACATGTCTTCATACACATGACATTTAGACCAATTTCTTGTCTCTTAATTTTCGCCATTTTATACTTTCAAAACTTATTGCTGTACTTGAACTAGCTGAAATTTATAGCCCTTCTGTAGTCTTTACACTACTTGATGACCAGTTTGCTGACAGTCCCAACGTTCATTTAGTTTCTGGAAAGGAATATCAGTTCGGTTGTTCTCCCGGCAGTGCTTGGCAGAGCTCTAGACGTTTAAAGCTGTCTGTATGAGTTGAATCTCATTCCGAATGTTGTCACTCCTGGATCGCGATTAGTTACCATACCGAGTGGGGGTTTTATCTTGTTAGCGACCTCATAAGGAGTTACGATTTTTTTTTTTTTTTTTGATATCTCATTTGCCCAAGATGTCGAAAGTCTATTTCTTATCAGTGGATTTTTTTTTTTTTGGACATATAAAATCAAATGAGAATAGCACAAATTCTGAAAATTTTCGACAAATATCCCTTCTCGTCCTCATTGGTCCTGGAAATAGCTGTGCGGTACTAAAATTTCACTTCGGAACAGAAAACTGAATTCACTAGATTTACCGTTGAAGAACCAGGATGTTACCTGTGATGGTCGTATCCTCAGGCAAATGGGCACATATTCGTTGGAAGTTGTTGTAATAACCACTGGTTTTACGCGTAATTTATTCCCCGCATTACGTGCCAGCAACGGTATCTCTTGTTCATAGTCATTTTCAATCTGCAATGAAAGAAAAAAAAGCAATTTCCGGATCATCAGTGGACCGACCACAAGGCAATACGGTGCATAGTTAGAGAATCATGCTGTGATTTACAACTGACACATCTTTGCCAAGTATAATATGGAAAATACCTAGAGGTCCGAGAAGTTTACATATTTGGGAGTCGATTTCATGAATTTTACACTTATTGCTCTTTTAGCAGTGGTTGTTGATGCCGTCAAATTTCATGTGTTCGTACACAAAGTGCTGAAGGGAATGTGTGCAAGGGTAAGCCCATGTAAAATTTCAACTTCCTTGCTTGTCTCATTCTCGAAATCGTTTTCCTGTCAAAATATTTTCCTAGGGACCTCAGGCGATATCAGCTGAAGATGAAGGAAACACATGACCTAATTAGTAACTCTGTACACCAAATTTTTGGATGTTTCTCTCCAGCTGCAAAATCGGACCACGAAGATGCGCCCAGTGGACGCTAAATACCAACCTCACTAACAATGCTACACCGCTTTCGCCTAGCTGGACGTGTCCTCCTGACCATTGGTGAATTTTCGGCCATTTCGTAGTAACACATGGTTGTTGTTGCTCCACCGCTACCCGTATAGCTTCGATATCGTTTCATTAGATAGCCAATTGCCGCATACTCTAATAGCGATGCAAATACTGCAAAAAATTTTCTCGGGAAATCACTAGAATTATCGTAATCATAGCGTATACTTGGAATACTTGCGAGCGTGTTTACACCGACTTGAAATTTTCCTGTTGCTTTGACCAGTGCTGCACCAGTTCGTGGTCAACGTGCTGGCGATCCTGACGTTCGTTTCGCTTTTGAAAGGATTGCCAACTTTTTTTTTTTTTCGACAGATGCACTGAGCAAGTTTTTAGCCTGTCACTAAAATTGTTTTTCCTTAACATTTCACAAACCAAGTATTTTACAATGATTTATTGCTTTTTCGTATCACTATTTCACAGATTTTACCCTGGGACTAATCTCTGGACTTTTAGTTCGCCCCATCCGTTTAATTAGTGACCGGCCATTTATATAAGTTAGCTTCTCCATCTTTTGGGATCTTTTTTATGTATCGCATTCCGACATGACACGGCAGTGGCATACTTCATTCTGGGAACTCCAACGCCCTAGAACCTATTATCCTCTTTTTTATATCGCTCCCTTTTATCCCTCTATATTTTGTACAGTAGTGTTGTATAATGGTCAGTTTTAGTCTAATAAATATGTTAATAAATATTCACACACACATACACAAATGTACAAACACACACACATTGGTCTAGGCAAAAGTCTTAGACACGCGATAAGTCGTCGTTCCGAGATGTCCTAGAAGTATATTGAAAATCACCGTACTTAGAACGCTGCTACTCTTAGATCGCGATTATTGGGTAAATTTAATTTCAAAAATAGGTACTGCAAATTACTGAAAATAAGCAGCTCAAAGAAAACGTTTCTTACTATCTTGGGTATAAGTGTAACTCAGTTATCTGACCCTTCACCAACTGTGCGGAATTTTCGGCGGTCTTGCTAAGTTTGCAGCCCCACTACTACTAATGACATTCTGAAACTAGTTCTGTGGCGAATGCATATATTCAAAGAATCAGAATTAGCGTTAAAATTTGTCTATTCGTGCGTAAAATTTTACCGCCTGCTGGAATTTTATTCAAATTTACAGCTCCAAGCAAAATTAAGTACTTTGATTTTAGCTCCAATAGATCCGGACTGTTGTTAATATGACTGCTTTGAGAAGCAGCCAGGGATAGGGAGAGTCTGGATGAGTTTTGGTATAAGGCTGTATCTTGGAGTAACGCTGCTTTTAGGACTTACCGATAAAGAAGCATACTCCCAGGAATATGTCAAGACTTTTCACATATGATACCTGAAAGCAGCAAGAAAATATATATTTCTTCATCCTTACATTTTCTTTCTACATTTTTTCTAGCAAACGTAGCGCAATGAGAGTTAGCATTGTTGTTTTAGAAGCGGGTCGAGAATTTAACACCTTCGGTATGAAAACTAATCCCTGCACAATTCGTTTGCTCGTTTCGATGTTAAATTGGTACTGGCATATGCTTGGAAATTAGACGAGCCATCAGCTTGCATCTAAACAATCCTCGAAAGCGGGAGCTTTTGGTTACCGGGTTATTAGGATGGTTGCTGTTGATGGTACATATGAATGTAAATAATTGGAAAAATAAGTTATATTTTCCAACTTTCACTTCATGGAAGGCTAACTTTAAATAAGTTATTTTCTTAGAAATTTGATTTTATTTTGTTTTTGGTAGAACAGATAGCGCTCACATAATAACGAAAGCAACGGGCACAGGCTTCTCGCATCCTGGAACAGTTACGTCAAGCATTTTTAATAGCATTAATGTGTTTAATACATTGCGCCTTCAGGCACTTTAAACAGTTCTCTTTGAAGTTAGCCCTAAAAAAAGCACACCTTTGGTAATGAGGCATTTGTTGAAGTCATTAGTGTTGTCATTGTCAGGACAGTTGTCACACCTGCAAACAACTGATTTCTCATTCAAAATGCTCACATAGGTGCAAATGCAAAATTATAACGATAACTGTACTTCTTGCTGTATTGCTAAGGATGTTTGAAGGCACCAGCTTGGGTCTGCGAAATTTTTTAGAAATCCAAATTCCTCATTAATCATCCGAGCAATAGAAGTGGTCCGGAAAGA